TGCATGACTGTGATCGATACTTGTATTAAGATGTATAAAAATTGTGATCAACTGATGCATCGGTGTATCGTCCCACTACTATTCCTTGCTGGTGTATATTCCCTACTGCTGGTGTATATTCACTAGTTGTAAATCTTCGCTGGTGTGTTTTCCCTAATTTGCATATCCTTCCTGGTGTATATTCACCACTTGTATAATTCACACATAGTAATTCGATACCGATACATAGCGATTGGTTGCATTATATACAATGCATATCAGCCTGGTTCTAAATAATGAAATGTTAACGGACAGCCTTGTTTCTGTACCCTGTACAGGCTAGCCATCAGGCGTGACGCAGTGACAGTGGTGCAGCAAGTCAGCTAATCTCCAGGAGACATTTGTTGTGTAACCACCACTGTCTCCTCTCCCCATGGTACAGCACTTGCTTCCTGGTCACCTTCCACTTTCACTGTCATCCTTCCTTAACTCCATGTAATGACGCATGCCTCTCGGGCTGTACTGCATCACGCCTTTATCAGTTGAGATTTAGAAATCTTTATAAACTAGGATTGCATATAAATATCTGTCAACACATCATACAGGTGACAACTAAATAAAAAGATCATAATTAAACTTTCAATTACATAAATGCAATTTGCAGAGGTCCCATAAAAGACCCATAATACCTCACGGGGGTCCTTGTGGATTTGGGCTTAACATATCATACTATTGTTTTGCTCTCCATTGTTGAAGATTGTAAACAGTGCAAAAACGTATACATGCTCTTGGCATAATATTCTTTTACATTTTAATGTTATTATGGAGTTTTATTAGCTAAGTGTACAAGACCAAACAGCTTGTTACAAACAGAAATTCATGCTCTATATGTCATCTTATCACAGATCCCTCTCCAATCTCTTATCTTTAACTTCAGGAACGTGACAAAGACTTTTAGACTCTCGCCCATTTTAATGAGTGAGGGAGTGAGGGAGTGAGGGAGTGAGTGAGTGAATTTAGTTCCATATTGCTGTTAAACAAATCACATTGTTGTTGAACAACAAGAATGGGCTTCAGAAATCATTAGCCATGGGTCGTCAGTACTCGTCACCGTGACATGACAGCTTTCACCACTAGGGCACCTAGCCATCTTGACTCATGACAATAGAACAAAAAACACGATCGTGACTAGAACCAAAAAGTCTGAGACAACAAATGGAGGACAAGGGTAGAGCCAGAGAGGAAAGCCTGGTCAGTTAGAGCCCAGTTTGACATGTAACAGGACCAGCTGAATGTGTACATGTTCAGAAGTCAGGGCATCACACGGCAGGTGTGTATATACCGGAGCTGAACAATCATCAATCACCGCTACCTTTCCACAGCTGACCACCGAAACAATTACTTTTTAAAAGCTGCGCAAATATGCAAAAACGTTCCAAGGGATTTGTCATTGCAGTGTTGCTGAGCAACACCTTGCCCAAACAAAGTGGCCAGGACTAGTGGACACAGTGTATGTCGGAATGAGGTTTTCATCACGCCAAACCCCGTTTCCAATGTAGGCAGCAATAGAAACTAACAATTTCAGTCCACTTGTCCTTATAATGATAACATATAGGAAAACCCTTAAAGAGGGCAAATTTCTACTAGTCTTTATGATACCTTAACTATTGGGCAGTTTGACAAGGACGATAGGACTAGTGCCAATTTCTTACTTTGTGTAGGTAGTGTGATGACTGATGCATGTTAATTGTTATGCAAACTTGACCATGACAAGTTCAAAGAAATTGTTTAATTATGTCCACTTAAAAGAGACTATAATGACACAGGTATAGACATAGTCACTAGTTAGTCCCTTAGTCTGAGACTAGTGAAAATTTAGAGGGACTAGTTGTTTGCATCCAACATCTAGTTATTTTACATATACCACTAGTTCAAATGGGCTGCAGACTAGTTAGATATGACCAATGGTGTGAACCCATTTTAGTAAACTTTATAAAGGAGCCGTGTCAGGAAAACCAATGGCTGATATCATGAGCAATGGTTTTGTTGGGGCAAAGTGGCACACAATCAACCAGTTCCCACACTGTGACCACCTGATCCTCAACAATTGTGTTGACCAAGGTACATATAAGCAACATAATCTTAAACAGTTTCAGTTTGGGGAGTAAAGCCATGACCATTTACCAAATAATGGCACCAGGGACTACTCCAGAGCTGGTAAATGTACCTGACTGACAGTGACACACTGATGTTCTGCCAATATTTGTGGGTGTATGCAAAGATGAAGTACTCTCTTGAAACCAGCGTCAAATCCTTACCTAACACTGTACTAAATGACCTTTCAAGTAAAAACATGTGGTTTTTTTTCACAGTAAGTTATTTTAATAAACAATACTGGGCTTAACCATTGTCAAGATGCCAAGACTTTGCAATGTGTATCATACTGCATCCTGACCATCAGATTATGTATTGCACATTGTAATTATAGTCGGCATTACCATAGTCATACACAAGCATGGAATATGGCAACAATACACACATACCATGCATAGTTGCATACCAGTGCTAGAAATTAAGGGGGACCTGGAGTTCTTGAAGTTTGCGCCTGTTGTATTTGATCGCGGTACTCCCTAAAATTTTAACTTTTGTTTGAACATCAGGATTGTGAAAAGGACCACTTGCTCATGCCTAATCTCAAACGTGCATATATAGCAGGTATTCGAGCAGCACTCGGCAATATTCCAGCTATATGACGGCGGTTGTAAATAATTGAGTCTGGACCAAACAACCCAGTGATTGACATCATGAGCATTGATCCACGCAATTGGGATACGCTGACATCATCAACCTGATAGCTGATACTGTTAGTCCCCTTTTACGACAAGCATAGTCGCTTTTTATGGCAAGCATGGGTTTCTGAAGACCTATTCTACCCCGGATCTTCATGGATCAAGCAGTTTGTGAAAGCGGTTCAGTGTTATCAGTGATATTGAATTTTTAGACGAACAAGATGAAGCACTTTTGCACTGATAAAAAACCCAACTTTACAGATATCATTCTAATGCAGTCACACCCACCAATGTGAACATAGTCCAGTGTAATCAGTGACATTCAATTCATGAGTATTTTTAGATGAAGCATGTTTGCGCTGATAAAGAACAAAACTTTATAGATATCTTTCTAATGCAGTCACCCACAAATGTGTACATGGTGCAGTGTTTTCAGTGATATTCAATTCATGAATATTTTTAGATGAAGCATGTTTGCACTGATTAAGAGCAAAACTTTATAGATATTATTCTAATGCAGTCACACCCACTATATACAGGATAATATCAGTCATTTTTATGGCAGGAAAGTAAAACACATAAACTGTTGATGGCTGTAATAGCCATTCAGTTTTGCAGACCACAAGGTGTGTTCCATACACATACCATGTGTGCAGGCCTTGTTGATTACAGCCAGCTGACTGATGACCTATATATCCTCACAGATCATACATGTGTCTCTCACCCTACATCATTAAGCTGTTTCCAATCATGACTCTTGAATATGAATAAGCACATAATTACTTACTAAATTTTAAAACACTATTAGGCATAAGACCTTGATAGGTAAATAATCCGGGTTCAGAATTTTCAGCTTTTATACCAAAGCTAAATAGTGTGTATGTGTGTGAGTGCGCGTGGTATGGTGTGTGCATCTGTGTATGTGTAAAATAGGGTTCTAACACAGCTATCAAGGTGATTTTCATTGTTGATTTAAAGAAAGTAGAATTTTTGCTTTTATCCTGTTCACACATGGGTGTTTTGCTGAAACTTGTATAACATTTGGAGCCTCCATCTTTAACTTCAGCCATGAGTCCTTTTAGGTCTACTACTATGCTCAGCTTAAAATAATCTACGTATCTTTATTCATATTATAATCTCCTGACAACGATGCCAATTATGAGGTATTATCCAAAGATGTTTGTGAATAGACTGCAATGTTACAAAACATTTTTTTTGTGCATGAAATTCCTTGTCATAAGTCCAATGATACAAATCAAAGATTTCTATATCATTTACATCATACATGTATTAGATGTTTTACTTTAAGTAGGACTTACTTCAATAACGTTAATGTTATTTTAGCTGAAACATTTCTCTTAACCATACCGATCTCTAGCTCTCTAATGAAAAACTGCTAGGCAACTGCCTAATATCTAATAATGTAGAAACTGACAAGTGAAGTAATTTTGGATTAGATGCGAAACCCTTTGTGCATGCATTAACGTTTTTTGCAAAAGCACTGTAAATACCAACATATTCTAAATCATTGACTTTATATGAATACCATGATTAACATTTCACCTTTTAACAATAGGATTTACAACAAGGATGTTTATGCTAAATTTCAAAACTGATAAATGAATAATATTAACATATTGCATACTTTTATATATGGTTTCTTAACTCTGTTCATTTTGACTTCAATAGTAGTAACACACACACATCAATTTGCAACAGATTACAAAGTGTTTTGATTACGTATGCGCAAGGATGAATTACCAGGGGGCGACAGGACTGTGAATTTTGAGTGATAGCACTGCATATGTATGAGAGGCCTATGGTAGCTTCGTGTCATATGGTTCCTGTTGATCATGTTGACGGTTTCAAAATAAACATTTCCTGCAATTCACAAATTAGGAAATGCAAGTTGCCTCCTCCCCGAGTGACTGTTCACACCGACCAGACGTAAGCATATTGCACCAGTAGCCGAGTAGAGAGTAAACACCCTTGATAGTTGTGTATTGAGTTCCTGTTATGGCTGCACCTGTTGTAGTAGTCATGTCCTGGTCAGTGTGTATGTCCATTCACCCATGACGCTCCTCTGTCCATCTCACTGACACTATCGTCCATCATATATCACGAATAATTCTTGTACTATCAATATGACAACTACGTTAATAACGAGCAACCATCTGTTACCTTGATGTAAAATAGTTAATTTGATGCATGCGAATGTCCTGTCAAACTCACCTTGTAAACCTTGCCGAACGCTCCATCGCCAAGCTCGGATATTATATCCCATTGCTGTAGAGGATCGACATCAGTAATGATGTTTTTGTTTGGTGCTTTCTTCTTATTGTAGTCCTCACCTCCCAGTCGCAACAATTTTTTGAAACTTGATAGAAATCCGGACATGTTGTATATCCAGTTTGAGGTGTACCACCTCTCCGAATAGTTTCCTCTGTTTTAAAGACGTCTTCCGGTTTCATGCAATTCCCGATCAGTGGGAAGTCGCGTCACATTACATGAAAACAATCCTATCACCCAAAGTGATTCTAAATAACCGACTGTTAATGTCTTTGCTGTCGTATTTTAGCAGACCCTGAATGTTTTCATCTTAAAGTTTCTCTCACTTGACAGTCGCCATCTTGCTTAGTCTTCCGCATGCGCAATGGCGATCAAAATATCACAATACTACTATCTTCACTACTGATATTACTTAACGATTTATGACAAATGCTTGCTATGGAGTGATGGTATGTAACTATTAATATTGACTGTGTTAGCTTTTATGTATTTTAGTTACTTTATGTTGTATTTTAACATAATTTTACTGTAATGTAACTTATTGTTTTTAATTGTGCCTCATAGGCCATTCTGGCCACACATTTAGAGCTGTTGTTCCTATCAAGACTTGAATTCTGCATGTACTAATTGTGTGACACTGTAATCAAATATTTGCCTTTTTTCCATCTCTCTATATAACGAATAAACGGGGAAGTTCATTTGTGTTAGGTCGATTAATTGAAACCAGGGGGTCATTTTACTGGAGGTCAGTAATCTAAAACGGTTTGAGGGGTCTACGTTGTATCTGTTTTAACACTTTGGGTGAGTTAACATTGTGTATAAACGTGTACTGCCACCATAGTGAAGCGCATACTGTGTATACACTATTGGAAAACAAACATCGGGTTGGTTTAATCATAACTAAACAACTGAGGAATGGGCTCTGTATAGGCTCTTTTGAACGCAGAGCATACTTATTATCTCACAAACATGCAATCAACTCAACTCAACTCCGTGGAGATTCCGGGGTAGAATAGATCTTCAGCAACCCATGCTTGCCGTAAAAGGTGACTATGCTTGTCGTAAAAGGCGACTAACGGAATCGGGTGGTCAGGCTCGCTGACTTGGTTGATGCATGTCATCGATCCCAATTGCGTGGATCGATGCTCATGATATCAATCACTGGATTGTCTGGATTTTACAGACCACCGTCATATAGCTGGAATATTGCTGAGTGCGGCGTTAAACAACAAACCAACCAACCAAACCAGCTTTATTCAAATATTTAATTTACACAGTGTGCACACAGGATATTTCGGTAATGTAGTTCATATACTACTACTTCCATAAACGCAAAAATAAAAAAGTCCGTTCTTCAATTAATGCGTTCGATAAAAAGAATTGACCCACAAACAACTCCGCATATGTTATTTTTAATTTTTTAAATTATTTTTAATCATTGCTTCGCGTATCATAGAAACATTGTACAGATATTAGTTTTGAAATTCTATTTGACAGGGCTCCAGATAATCTTTTGAGTCACGGAGTATTTACTACAAATTATCATTCACATTGGGGATGTATTGATACGGCGTTCCGTAAATAATCGAGCCTGGACCAGACAATCCAGTGATTGACATCATGAGCATCGTTCCACGCAATTGGGATCGATGACATGCGTCAACCAAGTCAGCGAGCCTGACCACCCGATCACGTAAGTCGCCTCTTACGACAAGCATAGTCACTTTTGACAGCAAGCATGGGTTGCTTTAGACCTATTCTACCCTGGATCTTCACGTGTCTTATACACAGTAATCAGTGTGTCGTTATACTATTGGGTTTTTCAAAATTGTTATGCAGCTACGCAAGCAGCCCAAAATTAAACGGGTGAGGGTAACTTATTGTGCGTATTTTACATGTTCACACCTCGCGCGTGTTGCAATAGTCTCTTGTATTTGTCGAGCAAGTCGAAAGTGAAATCTCAACGATATAAAGTCACTTTCATAGGGAAGCCGACGTCTGGTTTGTTTTTGTTTCATATCGTGTTCCGTCCTTTCCCTGCAGTAAGTACACGTTGTGGATGTGTTGTCTTGTCGCCGTTTTGGAGTGAGTCAACAGCTATTTCGCGACATCAACCGTTTACGTAATAACTATTGGTTAACGATAAGTGCAAGATTCCTTTATGTGTTTTATCTCATAGTTAGGACTTAGTAGTCGGATGAGTATGTACCAGGATAGTCTGTCTCACAGTCTCTGAACCATGTTATTTTCCCTTCCGCTCAGCCCTTACGGTGATGCTGTAGCCATGCAGTTAAGTCTAGATTTACCACAGATTATTCATCTCACTGGTGCTCCTTTACAATTTAAATGTAGTTGCTTGGTATACCAAATAGTTCAAATTATATATTTGTAGAGACTGAGTGTGAGTCTAGTTTCAGGAGTACTCAGCAACTGTTCCGTCGGTTTTAATGGGCAACGATGATTGTGCACACTGGCTGCTTTCTATGGTGTGTGTGTGTGTGTGTGTGTGTGTGTGTGTGTGTGTGTGTGTGGTGGGGGTAGCCTAGTGGTTAAAACGTTCGCTCGTCACGCCGAAGACCCGGGTTCGATTCCCTACATGGGTACAATGTGTGAAAACCATTTCTGGTGTCCCTCGTCGTGATATTGCTGGAATATTGCTAAAGGCGGCGTAAAACCATATTCACTCACTCACTTTTTATGGACCCAGGAAAACAGTGTACATATATGCACTCACTCACTCACTCTCATGCATGTAAATATCATTAAATGAATGTTTTAGAACATACTATTTTTTCAACACGCTGAAAACACGTTCTCATATGGTATTTTTTCACATATCTGCGACTGAATACTAATAGACTGTATAAGATCTAGATTGAAACTGATCTGAATATAACTGCCCCATTTGCCTGTGATATTGTTGAACTCCTGGTCGTTTCCCTACTTGTAGATACAATATGAGTGAGTGAGTGAGTGAGTATGGTTTAACGCCGCTTTTAGCAATATTCCAGCAATATCACGGCGGGGGACACCAGAAATGGGCTTCACACATTGTACCCATGTCGGGAATCGAACCCGGGTCTTCGATTCGGCGTGACGAGCGAACGCTTTAACAACTAGGCTACCCCACCGCCCCAGATACAATATGAGAAACCCACACTTAACATTCCATCCTTGATATTGTTGCAATAATGTTGACCATTAAACCCATACGCACACACCATATGTGAATATTTTGATGATTATGGTTTTAAAATTGTATTTAATTATATTTAATATCGTATTGTTGAAACACCAAGGTGTTATATGTTCACCTTGTTCAAATTACAATCGGACTCATTAAATAACATCTCGCCTGACATAGTTAACGACAAGAAGATGTTTGTTAGGAAAGTATTATGCGCGCGCTTGTCACTTTATGACGTCATAACAGGTCGAGTTCCTCGTTCTAAAAATAACTTGGGTTTCACCTAAAAACAAGTGGGCGGTGGCGCCTTGTCTTGATACACACCCAGATAGCGATTGGTGAAATTGCATGCTATTTATTCCTAACAAATCACACCCAATGAGTAACGGTTATGTAGGTATAATGAAAACAGGCTCCATTGTGGCCAGTAATAGCTTGTTTTACGAACTAATTAATGATAAAATGACTAAAATTAACATGACAAGCAATGTTAACTGGATTTAACCCAGCGGTGAATGTCATATTCCCGTGTGTGTGTATTTTTCAAAATATTGCCATATTTCAAAATATACCATTATATCAAATTAGCAGATACATGTTATGGATATATGTATACGCCTATTCAAAATGTTCCCTCATACATTATGTTTAATTCTGTCTGTTAAAGTAAGTTTTGTTTGTTTGTTTGTTGTTTAACGCCGCAATATTCCAAGTCGTCTAAGGCGCCGCGATTCGCTGTGCAGAGTTGCGTGCCTTCGGCACGCCAGAAACCTATGATTATAGGTTCGAATCCCGATTCGCCCCGATTATGTTTCTAGGTTTGTCAGCACCATACCCGTGCTCGTGGGTTTCACCGAAGTGGTAAACGTCTGAGACCGGCATCACTTCGGGCTGTATGTATTAAATGCATGTAAAAATTGTATGTTTAGAAAAAAATAATCAAGATATTGATTGTGACCATTCTGCTATAGATGTCGGGTATCACTTCCTGAAAATCTTGCCTGCTTCTTCAGACTTCGTAAGAAAAACGACCCATTGAATTGCTATCATCACATATTGAAAATGTAAATTGCTTAGGCAAAGGCAGCACTTTCGATCGTACTGGAAACAATGTTTTTTTGCAAGAAAAGGGTGGGGTCGCTTGGATTTTGTATGGAGACCAGATATTTTTTTCAAAACCAAATAATATTTTAATCAAAGCTATGATATTTTGTTTTCTAAAAATACCTTGTAACAATGCAATTTTTGTGACAAAAAAAGTCTTTTCTTTTCAACCGTCAGAAGCACAATTGTTTTTTTCGGGGACAATATATTTCTTTCTATAGGAAGGTAATATGCATGTGGCTAATTGATGTTTATACAACGTTGAATGATGAGGTTGATAAGGTTGATCAACAGATAAGGTTGACGTATAAAACCTGATGTACATAGTAGAATAAATAGATTAACAAGGTATGTTTGAGTAAAGCAATAATGATAGGTATGGATAAGTATTTAGATGAGAAGGATTAAGATGTATATGTAATGGGCAATAGTAATGAGATTAAGATTGTTTGACTCATGGTAGGCCGTTGGGACGCATTACCCTCAGTATCTACACCGAAACCTCGCATTCGTTGTAAAAAATGAAGTTGTTATCCATAAAAAAAGTGTCATGTCGCCTCCCGTGTTTTCCTCGTTGCAGGGGCGCAGAACATATTTTACGTGCGCTTTAAACAGATCTTTACACCAAGCCACATAACAACTTCCCAGTCAAAGGGGTTGACTTTTGTGTTGAGGGATTGCAGTGGTTGTTTCTCGTGGCGGTGCTTGTATACATGTAGATGTATGTTTGTGATGAAGGCAATGTAGGTTTTGTGAGTGAGTGAGTGATCTTCCCGAGGCAAGGGAGTTAACTGACTACAAAAGTCCAGTTTCCAACCTTGCCGAACTAGGCTGGAATTGTGAGGTTACAGTTTGACTGGATTAACGAGTCTATGCATAGTCCAATCAAAATCGCGTTACGAACTAGACATCCGGTTCATAAACAACATGTGTTTCAGCGGGTTTTGTCCGTCGACTGCAGGATTTGCAAAGCATGTGTACCGTCAACTAAGCGTCGACAGATATTTTGCAATTTTTTTCATGTTTTTAATAAATTTGCTCAAGTGATTTCATGCACTTCGCAGGGTAAGACCCGATTTTTACAATATAGATCTTGATTATCGATCAGATCGTCTTGAGTGAGCACCGCTATTTTGTTAGAAGCAAATGCAAGCGATATGAGCGATCGAATTTTATCAGTTAGTGAGTGAGCATAGATGGATGGATGGATGGATGGATGGACTGGGAAGATTTTGTTCATGTTCATGGTGTGGACGATGCCGGTGTGTCACGGTCATGGTTGGTGGTATGTGTGCATGAATGTAGTGTGTGGATGTATGCGTATATGCTGTGTTCAACTGTCTGTTGTATCTGCCTTTTTGCCCGTTTATTTTGTGAAATAAGGTTTTGCAGATCTGCCTTACCTGTTTGTACAATCAACTTAAACCCCTGCAGTTCTCCAACCGTCCGAAAACTGCCCAAACTGTCCAAGACAATAAGCCATATGGTTAATGTTAACTGGTGAGCGAAGGGAAGGTCCCTCTGTCCAGCTGTATTGTGCTAAGCATTCTGAGAGTGAGTAGCCCTGCTGTTGCTTTAAACATTTTAAAACAGCAAAAATAATTCCGTTTGATGTCATCTAAATACATCAGTTTAATGCAAATTGTTTTGGGGATGACCGCCTCCGTGGTCTAGTGGTAGAGCGTCCGCCCGGAGAGCGGAAGGTCCGGGGTTCGATCCCCGACCGCGTCATAACATAAGACGTTTAAAGATGGTACTTGTTGTTACCCTGTCTGGCGCTCGCATTAAGGAGGTTAACAAGGACTGATCGGCTCGGAGTCAGTATACTGTGTCTGAGTGGGGTATTCATGTTAAACTGCGGCACGGTATCTCAGTGGGCTAGCACTATAAATCGGCATCAGTACGGACTACTACAAGCAGCCACACAGACACCCGCGTGCATGCACGTCGCTATATAAGTGCAATAATCATGGACGCGACGTTAAACCCCATTTTACCTCACCTATTTTGGGAATACTATAAAATACTATTATTGTGATGTATACGGTGTACCTCACTGTTTCCTGAACTGGTTGCACAATATTGATAATGATATGTTAGTACGTAAGCATTGTAAAAAGTAAATATGTTCATAGGCATCTCCATTGAATGTAAAGCGTAGTGGACTACTTCAGTTTAGTATTAGTTATATAACTTTATGATTAATACTGTAATTATTATACCTTCATATTATTAGAAATAAAAGTTCGATAGATATTTTATATCAAACATAGATAGGGTTACGGAGTATATTTTATGGGGATTATTACTAACATTGTTAATACAATTCTTAATTCTTGGGGATATTACAACATATACACATTTAACTTTAGTTTGTATTATTAAATCTATATTATTTTGAAATTGTTACAGAGACTAGTTATGGTGATAACAAACGTAAAGTCAACATGCTTAAAAGAAGGATTTCAAATTTCAGAAATCAGAAAGCCTATCTTTTACTATGTTCAATATAGAATTGTCAGTTCCAGAATCGGTTGATCGTTAGTTAGTGCCCGTAGGTTTTACCAGAGTAATAAACATCTACCTCTGTGTGTGCGCGTGTGCGCGTGTGCGCGTGTGTGCGCGCGTGCGTGTTAGCGTAGTGTATTTATTTTGTAGATTCGCGTTCATTTAAATATTTCCTAATTGTAATAGTTTTTGGTTCGGAAATTACAACACATCGATTAACAACTGCATAAAGTTGAACAATTTGCAAGGTCTCAATTGATTACGATGTTTCCCAAAGATTTAGCTGGATTGTTATTACAGGGCTGCCGTTTCCAAAACAACATGTCTCTCGCCAATGTAAACTGATATCACAACTAGAACAAGAAGTAATAACTAGAAATATATGGTGTGTCGCAACGTACAACATACCTATACCCCGTTTGTTGAGACCCCGTTATTCCAGATTGAACGTGAACGTGTATACAAAGAGCACCACCCAGTACCTAATATTGGTAAGCCCGGACTTCACTGAGTACACTGCAGTCCGGTTTAACGGGGTTACACTTTATCAAATATGATAAAGATACAAAAAGATATTAAAGCGTAAATTTATATATGTTCGTGATGACAATATTAATGTATGCTGAAAATTGTATTCAAGGAATATATATATTGCGAAAAAACATGTTTATGTTAACTTGTTATCCCTCAAACAGCCACCCCAAACCATTTCGATACAAAACCCGCATTAACATCGACTGCTGCAGTCGGCTACCCTCGACGCTCAGTTAGTCGACATTTTAGTGTGATAATTTACCAATAACTATGTGAACCAAGCAAAGCCCTTCATTAACAAATCGCACAGTTGGTTAAGGATGCATGTCATTTCAATGCATTTAGATCTGAACTGCTAATAACAGAACCATACGTTTCATTTTGAAACTGAAAACGCACTCTTAAACGGCCCAAATGGGCGGGAGAGTCAGTACATGTTTACACCGCCCCAAGAATGGGCCTCACACTGTGTGCCAATGCCGCACATAGAACACAGCCTTCCCGTACGGGTATGAGGTGTTCCCGCAGCGTGGTCTCTCTGTTTACTGTTCAGTGTCCTAACTCGCTGTGCAAAGTTGAACCATTAAGAGATGATCCACGATTCACCCCGATTGTGAAAATTGATTTGTCACATGTACACAAGTTTACTCATGGGTTTCACCAAAGTTGTTGGGGTCTATGAACTTGCCCGCTTTCGACCCCGCATTAAGCTGACACACATTATAACAATCAACAGTTCAGTCAGGATGTTATCAGATTCCTGGTCATTAAACTTGGCGTGATGGACGAGTGATAGTGTATTTTCCTTACAATCACATGGTTGACAAATTTATTACGAGGGCATCAATATTGCTCCGATCGGGACAATATGATGCGTAGTGCATGGAATCGAACGTGGGATCACTTCACATGCGTAGCCCTTTCGCCAAGGTAAGAGATTCCGATGGAAAAATAGCAACGTGTTAGTGTAAAGTTGAACTGTCGGAAATCTTCGGTATGAACAGATCAATTCGTATATTACCACTACACATTATTTCACAGCCAATGACGATGAGTCCACGTGTCTCTGAAATCTCAGATTGTGTCGTGGCGATTCAGGAGTTCCACCGATACGTCTTTGTGACAAGCAATATCGAAGTATATTCAGAACCATGTTCATCATTCAGTCTTGCTTGACAACGGAAAAGGATCTCTACCGAACCGTCACATTTACAGTAATTAAAGAAGTTGTCATCCATAAATTCTTTGTCATCCGTCAACTTCTAAGTAACACCTGTCGAACAATTCAACAATTCAGCAGTTATCGACGTGTATTTCCAGTTCAGTAAATCAAACAGGTCATCATCTATATATAGAGTAGACCTCATGTTGTATAATGGCGATTCAGAAGTTTCGTCAAGAGAAATACCAGTGTCAATATAGAATAGGCTCGTTCCAACATTTCGGCAATTAATAACACGCGCGTAAAGTTAGATAACTGAAAACGTTCCAAGCTGACGAGCGCGAGATATTCTGTGGTAATTTATTGCTAGTTAAACATGGTATATTTGGGCCGAAGTCGCCCAACTGAAGTTGCGAACATTGAAATAGTTGATGGCATGTACGAGGTTGATTGGATAGAACAACATGATAAGTACCGCAGGTGCCACATCCGTGTAGTCATGGTGACGGAACCAGTTGTTTAGCAACAAGATCGGTCTGAGTATACAAAGTATAAAAACAAAGAAATATCTCCAAGTCGGATTGTGAAGTATTCTCAAAGTGCTTTGGCAGAGTGCACATGCGTTCTGTCCGCTGAGCAGCGCATCTGAAAGAGAGAACAGAATTAAGTTTAATAACGAATGTTGATCACTGAACATAGATTAGGCGCCTCCAATCCCGGACGGGGAAGGTTCAGGGTTTAATGCCCGGCCGCGTCATACCAAACGACGTTAAAAGATGGTATTTGTTGTTACCCTGCCTGGCTCTCAGCTAAAATAAGAACTCGTCGGCTCGGAGTCATTATACTGTGAGTGGGGTATTCATGTTAAACTGCGGCATGGTATCTCAGTGGGCTTGCTTTGTAAAATCGGCATTAGTCCGGACTAGTATAAGCAGCCACACACGCGTGCATGCACGTCGCTATATAAGCTCAACAATCTTGAACGCTACGTTAAACCCCATTTCGGGGCGGTCGGGTAGCCTAGTGGTTAAAGCGTTCGCTCGTCACGCGTCACGCCGAAGACCCGGGTTCGATTCCCGACATGGGTACAAAGTGTGAAGCCCATTTCTGGTGTCCCCCGTCGTGATATTGCTGGAATATTGCTAAAAGCGGCGTAAACCGAAGGAAAGATAATGATAATTTAAAATAACATCTTATTGTCTTGATTAAGAGTCCACACAGTCATCAATAGCAGGGACAGCAGGGGTAGCCTTGTGGTTAGACGTAGGCCTCGTCTCTTGACAAAAGAACGGCGCTAAACCATAAACATTCACCGATACCATTTTAATTTGTGTACCCAATTGAGGCACAGTATATTGTTTTATCCCCTTAATGCCAAGCGCCAGGCAAGAAAACACGTGCCATCTTTTAACGTCTTTGGATATGACACGATCGGAACCCGGGCTCAATCCAGACCACGGAGTCGGCATTCGCCGTGATAAAGTTGGGATACAGATGTGATAAAGTAAGGATAAAGTAAGGATAAAGTTGGAATATTACTGATCGAAGGGTAAACGCTCCTGTCTAACTTATCTCAAACAGGGTTCCAATTACTGTTAAAGAACCGCCCATAACCGTGCCATATTTTGTCAATAAGAACATATGAAAACATAACTCAATTAATTTCATTTAAAACAGAAAGGTAAAATAGTTTATATTATATCATACTATCACAAAACTCGAAAAGTTATAAGCGGTTAATTGATAGATCTTATTAAGTGCATTAAGTTAGTATTTCGAGTGGTAGTCTAGTGGGAAAGCGACACCTAGGTTCGACACGAAGTCCGGGTTCTATTTCCCACATGGTTGTCAATGCTTTGTGTTCTTAGTCACTCAAATCGGTAAACGAAAAGACTAGCGATTTCACTTTAGGCTTTCGTCACACATTGAAATAACACGCCTTGATAGGACTTAAAAATAGGGATCTTAGCGTGATAACATCTATCACTGGTTTGTCGGGCCCAGATTCGATTATCGACACACCGCCGTCGTATAGCTGTAATGTTGCTGAGGCGTCAACCAACAGACTTAATGTAATTGGGCAAAGCCTCACCTGAAGTGTGTGGGTCACTACGCGGGTGTCTGATACCACAGCCAAGGATGACAAGTGACGGCGGGACATACAGCAATGCGTTGAGTACCACCAGAGTAGTGGAGTCTTGTCTTCCTGAGAACATCGGTATGTAGATATGCGAGTCATACGGCAAACTGACCACAGACTGGGAAACACAGGTAACCCCTGCCTCGTCGGGACTCTGTAAAAGCATTTGGACTCCAATGGCAAAGAAAGCCCACAACACAACAGCCCGCCAATAACCACTGAAAACGATTTCAGGAACAGTAAATGTCTTTGCATAACCACTTGTCATATTATACAATGCAACACTAGCCACCATGCAGACAAGAACCAGTGTGTCACATTTCACGTAGCACGGGCACACATTGACGCCATGGCCACTAGTTACAACCACTACCATCGCAGTAACACTGAAGAGGAAGGAGAGAAGGGAACCGAAGGTCACGGACGTGAGGAAGTAATTACAATGGAAGGCCTGCGCAGATCGCCGCTGTTCAGCTGCGTGGTACGCTCCCGGAAGTAGCAACAGCGATCCGGTCAGAAGGTAGTGCAGTAACTGAGCGACGTCCATTGTTTTAGTGTCGACTTGTACGGGTGTAGTCACCGTGATGTTCACTTTACTCCAACTCTGTTCTGGGGGGAAGATGATGTTCATGAGCGAGTAGGAATGAAACCTCCTGACCTTGACCTTGCACCTCGAATTGACGTTTATTTCCAATTTTTTGTTTTCTTTTAATATTGTTGTTATGTTTTTGTTACCATGACATGGTCATAACAAAGAGACTTTTTTTCTGAAACCAAAACTTTTTCTAAATGGATGAGTTTGAGTTCATTCAGTTTTGATTTGACAGTGATGGCTATGTCTTCAATGGTATCCTTATATAGTTTGATGATGATGATGATGATTATGGTTTTATATGGTTTGATGATGATGCTACTTCTTCTGTTTGATTTGACTTCCGTCACCTCCACCTGGAAAACAAGAAACAGTGTTAGAATGTCGACAGAACGTTTGCGATTGTCATACCAAAGGCCGATAACTCACGCTTTTTGTTTTGTTTTTGTCGTTCGGCGAATACTTAGCGTTATTTTGTTTGTTTGTTTGTTGTTTCACCCCGTCCTCAACATGTTCCAGCTATGTGACGGCGGTCTGTAAATAGTCGAGTATGGACTAGAAAATACAGTGATTGGCATCATGAGCATCGATCTACACATTTGGAATACGATTACATGCGAGCCTGACCACCCCGTCCCTTTAGTGGCCTCTAATACGAAAAGCATGGGTTGCTCAAGTCATATTTTAACCTGTTTTTCAAGGAGGATTCAATATTAGCGTTATCAGTACTGGATTTCCTTACTATGTGTTAACGGGGGCGTTTTAAGTTTATACAACGTACAGCATAAATGGAACAGTATAGGGACGTTTACGTTCCGGTTTTTCTGCACACTTGCCCTAAACTAGCCTTGTGTGTAGAATGTGATGGACCTGTAGTGAGATTGCGTGGTTTACTATTGGATGCCCGATCGACTGTACATGAATGTCTTTCTTCAATCTCATTAAAATCAGATCTTAGTTCTCGCTACCGCTAAATAAAGATCTGAGGACATCCCATTACGGGTCACGTCAGACCGACCTTACGCGATCTTTGACCGACCAATTGAATGACCAATCAGAAGGCAGTTTTCTCGTGCTTTACGGCACAAATTTTAAATTGGCGACTACGCTTCGAAGCATATTTTGACAAATTCTCGATTACAAATTTGAAACCCTAACAAAAAACATTCTGGAATGACTAAAAGATGGTCTAGATTGTAAGGATTCAGTCGTTAAACCCGTAACTATCGTTCGGAATACCCCATGTTAAAGTTTTCGAGATTGCGTGATTAGAAATCACAGTCCGACGCACTGATTGGTCGGATGAAAGGTCGTTCTGACGACCTAATGGGATGGCTTCGGATCTTTGTTTAGCGGTAGCGAGAACTAAGATCTGATTGTAATGAGATTATGATTTTTGAAATTTGATTATGACTATTTAACCACCACCCATTCCCGCAACAGCTTGTAAACAATAATCTGTGGCCGGGTAATTTTGTGCAACAAGAAACTGCAACAAAACTAAAACCCACCAAAAACCATGTAGAAGTATTGTCTGAGTGCTGAAATACAATATCGCTAACTTAAGATATTTTCGATTGAAAATGAAACATAGTAACGTTTTGATTACTTCTGAATTTTTTTGTTTCAAATCCAATATTCAAGGGTATGCTAACTTTTGCCCGGCAGTGTATTTACTCAAGGCATATAAATGTCATGGACTTACTTACATGAGACAATGATTAAGCAAGGCCCAGCTCGCAAATGTTCACAATTGAACATTTCTAAGTTTTAATGATTTGGTTTTCCCTACCATAATGTTTTTTCCCTATGAACGCAACTTTTAGTTTAATCTAGTTTACTGAATCAAAATTTGGCGTGTCTGGATTATTGTCCAAACAGCATTTTCTAGAAACTATTTTCTATTTGTCTGTCCGTGGATATCACACTAACCTACTGTTTCTGACCTTCGGTTTCTTTAAAGAGCAGCTGTTTCAACGCTGCATACCATGAACATTAGTCATCACACAGTCTGTCGTTCACTGTCGCCAGATTGATAAGCATTTTTAACGACGTGTGTCTAGCAGATTTCAATTGAAGTTAATATACTGTACTTCATTGTGACAAAAATGCTCAGATGTGTGTTGTTGATACCTCAGAGGGAAGGGTGGTCTTGCTCTAAAGGTAGAAGATGTGCGAATGATCAAAGTTGGAGAGTTAATCATGATAGTTGTCGAGTGAGTGAGTGAGTATGGTTTTACGCCGCTTTTAGCAATATCCCAGCAATATCACGGCGGGAAATACCAGAAATGGGCTTCACACAATGTACCCATGTTGGGAATCGAACCCGGGTCTTTGGCTTGACGAGCGAAGGCTTTAACCACTAGGCTACCCCACCGCCCCTGACAGTTGTCGAAAAGTCTGGATCTATCTCTATCGTTCTTAGTTTAATTCAAAAGATTTATAACACATTTCCTCCCACATAAAACTGTGATTATGTTATATAATACTATTGAAAGTGGCGTTAAACCCAACTCACTCACTCATTCACTCTTCATTCAAAATAGGGGGCACGTTTGGCCCAGTCGTCTAAGGCGCCGCGATTCGCTGTGCAGAGTTGCGTCACTTGGGCACGCCAGAAACCTATGGTTGTGGGTTCGAATCCCGGTTCGCCCCGATTATGTTTCTAGGTTTGTCAGCACCATACTCATGCGCGTGGGTTTCACCGAAGTTGTAAACGTCTAAGACCTGCATCACTTCGGGCTTTCCTCCCACATTTAGCTGACACGCCGCGATATAACTGGAATACTGTTAAAAGCGGCGTTAAACCCAACTCACTCACTCATTCAAAATATGTTAATACGATGATCCCTGTAACCGTTTTAACATACCCTTTAATGTAACAACTTTAACTGATTGATCCCACTAATAATATTTCTGAAACCTGCTACACGACACGGGAAAATATGGTATCACTCGATTGGTTCATTCATATTAACTGCCGGGCAAAAGAAAGTATACACTTGAAAATTGGATTCGACGAAAATACCACAAACGTCATCAAAACGTTACTGTGCAGAAAACAGTCGCCGAAACACTGGGAACGTAAGGTCCAGTACCGACTGACCCCCGTCGACACTATCGAGTAACCATTTCTTGTTTGTTTCCTTTTCAAACACCATCAAACATAGGTGAATAGTATAGTCAATCAAGACTTTGTGTTACCAGAGAATCAATGAGCCAGCCAGCTACCCCCATGAAATATGTTTGCATTTCGATATCATAATATAATAAATGGAAAAATAATTGCAAAATGACTGAAATATTTTGACGTTTTGTAAATTGTCCAAGCGAAAATTTCCGTCAGTTTATACGTTGACTGTAACACATATGCCAGGGGGCCCCTCCCCGGCCTGAACTATATATTTTAATATCGAGATGCCAGATGTCATATTTAACAAGTTATATAGTTTTGATATAACATACATTGTGAGTTAACAATAGCCTGAGTATTTAATCAACGAAACAGTGTAGCATACGTATTTCTCAGTATAACAACCGCATCTAACACTTCAGATACTGGCAATATTATACGTGTTAATTCAATGTAATTGACATGTGTTTGAAGGAAACACTTTTCATGACAACAGTTGCATCTTCCATACATCTATTTTGACATATGGGGGCCTAAACCTTAGCCAGACACAAGGAGGAGACTGGTGATTTGCATTTGATTTGTTGAGAATGTTAATATTTCATTACCTAAACAGTGGGATTAAATAGCGCCAGTATTCCTTCGTCACGCTACGATTATATACAGAGTCTATCTAGTAACTTCCTCCTCTACATGTGTTGCGTCATATTTCAAGTCAATAAAACCATTGTTGACTAGTATAGATAAATGAATACACAATCCTCATTAAAATCAGATCTGATTTTAATGAGATTGGTGAATACACAACAAAAACTTCATGAATATCATGGGAATCATAGAAGCTAAACATCAGTTGTGGAACAATATCTAAAATATTTGAAGATGAATATAAAGCTTCCAAAAATATGAGAAAAATGTGAGAAATAAATAACATATATAAGGGAGAGACAAGGCCTCGAAAACTCCTTCCCCATGTCAGTACGTGTTTGAAGACCGGGGAAAGTATGACCACAGTGTATTAGAACTGGCCTAGGTTGGAGCCAAGAGAAAGGAAGACCTGGCCTAGGTTGGAGCCAAGAGAAGGGAAGACCTGGCCTAGGTTGGAGCCAAGAGAAGGGAAGACCTGGCCTAGGTTGGAGCCAAGAGAAGGGAAGACCTGGCCTAGGCTGAATCTTCCCCGGGGAAAAAAACTGACCTTAGTCGAACCTTCACCGGGGAAGAACTGGCCAGGGCGGTGTTTCGGTCTGTTACAAAGGGTCACGTGTTGGTTGTGTAGTGGTGGTAGTTGGGGATGTTGGTTGTGTAGTGGTGGTAGTTGGGGATGTTGGTTGTGTAGTGATGGTAGTTGGGGATGTTGGTTGTGTAGTGGTGGTAGTCGGGGATGTTGGTTGTGTAGTGGTGGTAGTCGGGGATGTTGGTTGTGTAGTGGTGGTAGTTGGGGATGTTGGTTGTGTAGTGATGGTAGTTGGGGATGTTGGTTGTGTAGTGGTGGTAGTTGGGGATGGTGGTTGTGTAGTGGCGGTAGTTGGGGATGTTGGTTGTGTAGTGGTGGTAGTTTGTGATGTTGGTTGTGTAGTGGTGGTAGTTGGGGATGTTGGTTGTGTAGTGGTGGTAGTTGGGGATGTTGGTTGTGTAGTGGTGGTAGTTGGGGATGTTGGTTGTGTAGTGGTGGTAGTTGGGGATGTTGGTTGTGTGTGGTGGTGGGTGTTGGTGGGGATGTTGGTTGTGTAGTGGTGGTAGTCGAGGATGTTGGTTGTGTAGTGGTGGTAGTCGGGGATGTTGGTTGTGTAGTGGTGGTAGTTGGGGATGTTGGTTGTGTAGTGGTGGTAGTTGGGGATGTTGGTTGTGTAGTGGTGGTAGTTGGGGATGTTGGTTGTGTAGTGGTGGTAGTCGGGGATGTTGGTTGTGTAGTGGTGGTAGTCGGGGATGTTGGTTGTGTAGTGGTGGTAGTTGGGGATGTTGGTTGTGTAGTGGAGGTAGTTGGGGATGTTGGTGGTGTAGTGGTGACAGTTGGGGATGTTGGTTGTGTAGTGGAGGTAGTTGGGGATGTTGGTTGTGTAGTGGTGGTAGTTGGGGATGTTCGTTGTGTAGTGGTGGTAGTCAGGGATGTTGGTTGTGTAGTGGTGGTAGTTGGGGAAGTTGGTTGTGTAGTGGTGGTAGTCGGGGATGTTGGTTGTGTAGTGGTGGTAGTCGGGGAAGTTGGTTGTGTAGCGGTGGTAGTCAGGGATGTTGGTTGTGTAGTGGTGGTAGTTGGGGAAGTTGGTTGTGTAGTGGTGGTAGTCGGGGATGTTGGTTGTGTAGTGGTGGTAGTCGGGGATGTTGGTTGTGTAGTGGAGGTAAACGGGGATGGTGGTTGTGTAGTGGTGGTAGTCAGGGATGTTGGTTGTGTGTGGTGGTGGGTGTTGGTGGGGATGTTGGTTGTGTAGTGGTGGTAGTCGGGGATGTTGGTTGTGTAGCGGTGGTAGTCAGGGATGTTGGTTGTGTAGTGGTGGTAGTTGGGGAAGTTGGTTGTGTAGTGGTGGTAGTCGGGGATGTTGGTTGTGTAGTGGTGGTAGTCGGGGATGTTGGTTGTGTAGTGGAGGTAAACGGGGATGGTGGTTGTGTAGTGGTGGTAGTCAGGGATGTTGGTTGTGTGTGGTGGTGGGTGTTGGTGGGGATGTTGGTTGTGTAGTGGTGGTAGTCAGGGATGTCGGTTGTGTATTGGATGTAGTTGGGGATGTTGGTTGTGCAGTGGTGGAAGTTGGGGATGTTGGTTGTGTAGTGGTGGTGGGTGTTGGTGGGGATGTTGGTTGTGCAGTAGTGGTGTGGGATGGTGAATGGTGGTTGGAATGGTTGGGCAGGATGGTGGTTGTGCTGTGTGATGTGGTGTGGTGTTGTGTGGGGAGGTTGATGGTGTGGTTGTGGTAGTTGTTGATGTTCGGTGTGTGTTTGGGGCGTGGTTTGAGGTACGTGGGTGAACGCCGGAGGGATGGGTGGGCAGAATGGGGGTGGTGAGACGCCCTTTTGACAAAATATCCTGGATCCGCCCGTGACCATGTCCATGTATCACCCATTACACACAGCGAAGTCAGGCACAGCACACGGTCGGCTATCACATCACAAATACAACCATCCAGCAACGGACATTAGAAAATCAATTATGCGAATACTGATTGTCGGTCCCGTTGTAGATTACAAAATACGCAACCGATCCCCAATGCTTAAGAACCGACATTCAACAATGTGTGACCCAGTAGATAGTTGTCACCGTATCCTGACGCCGTTGCTAGTTTTTCATGCCATCAGTCACTGGTGTGCCTGTGCTATACTCGAATGCTTACAGGTCGCCGTGATATAGCGGGAATATTCCTGACGATCGTGCAAAATAGCATCATTCGCCGAATCTCGAATACAATGTATATATAACGAAAATAGTATGTAGGTTTGACGTACAGTACACATCTATTCATTCGTGCGCGATAACTGCAATTCAAACAGAACACAGATAATACACATACCTTTTGTCGAGAGAAGACGCATACTGGGGACAGCGTGAATATGTCTACAAGTCTTTACTCTGCATGTGGAGCAAGGACACGCACGGTTTATCAGACCATCGCCACCTGCTGCACAGAGAGAGAGAGAGAAGGGGGAGGGGGGGAGTACTAATTCGCTCACACTCGAGGCTATTCTTATCAGTTCATCAGTTCAATCTTTCGCTGGATAGAATATCCTCAATATGTGTCCCCACTGTATGTTGGATATTTTCCTGTTATGATAGCTATAATCTTACATAACACAGTAGTTTCATTTTAATATAATATATCATTTTGACATCAACATATATAGTTTACAAGTCTAGTTATGTCTTTTATTTATGGCTGAGATTTAAAAGTAGTAGTATTTTTCTGTGTGACGTAATAAAGCTTACAAATGTCGACATGTGCGAGCTGTTGCGCGCCGTCTTTATCAGCCGTGGCGAGAAGGATGGGATGTACGGCTGCTTCCGCCTCCACTTAAAGGATCAACTAGGTCGGGATGGATCTAAAGACGATTTCTGTCAATGTAGTTATTCTTGCAAACAATGATTTAAAAAAACCTGTTTCCGTGTTTCTTATATTACATAACATAATTATTTTGTCCGTTAGAAGTATATAGCAGAATGTATTTCTTTCCGACATTTGCTTCTGAATATATTTTCACCAAATTTCCAGTTTAGAAAATGCGTTCTTGCTTGGCATCTGCAATTTGTTTTGAAGAGAGGGAAATTAAAGTTCATCACTAACTACATAAGCACCACATCACACCTGGCTACTACTACTACTACTACTACTACTACTACTACTACTACTACTGCTGCTACTATTACTGCTGCTGCTGCTACTACTACTACTGCTACTGCTACTACAACTGCTACTGCTACTGCTGATACTACTACTACTACTACTACTGCTACTACTACTACTGCTACTACTACTACTACTGCTGTTACGACTTCTACCATTCTACTAGTGTTGTTACTACTAAAACTACTACTACTACTACTACTTAACTAAATAGCTTAAGATTCTACACCACACACAGCGCATACCTCCTGGGTCACAAAAGTAGTGTCCATTTAACCCCATTCTCAGCTTCCTGGGGATTATACCTCAAAGAAACACCGTCTGGATTATTCTGGCGTAAAAGCAAAGGAATATAAACATATTTACGACACACTGACCACTACCGAAACATGGCCACATCAGACCCACTGTACACATCGAGTTTACAAATAGAAGTATACCTCTATGTGTTATAATTCGCCACACTCACCTGTTGCACTGAACGCCGACAGGTGCGCTTCCCGGAGATTGATTGCAGTTATGAGCGTTGTACCTGACCGGTCCGGGGGCGAGTTAACTGGACTATAATTATACGTGAATATTCTGTTCCATACTGCCTGTTATAAAGTAGCGCGGCTCGCGGCTAATACCGACAACTAATCTCCAATATACGGCAGATGATACGCTGTGGGTGTCGCCAGGTGGCGCGAATAGTTGCCGTTAATATTGATTGAGTCACTTATTAAAAAATAATATCATTGAGTTTTTGTCATGAAATCGATAGATACATATGAGAAACATTGCATCGATATGTGAATGTTATCAGTTTATACCATATTAAACATATTTCAACACACGTAAAAATGCATTTGTTTCTTTCACTTTGACATATGAAATATGATGATGTCGAAAACATAATATTGTAAAAGTTCGAGGACCCGCAGCGCCAGTGGAGTTTAACGTCTGATCATATTACGCGCATTTCGTGTCAAATCATCCGTTAGATACAGATGAATACTGTTTCTGTTTTTTTATATATCATTATCATTATCCTATTGTCAAAATACAAGAATGGTGTACTATGTAATATGCACGGTAATAACCGAGTTACTTAATATCAAAATACATAAATTGCAAATAATGCCAGCATGTCATTGGCAACCATGCAGATTTTCCATAAACATAAAATATTTAGGCCACAGCAACTAACTATGACGGACTATGTTGTTTATGTTAATGGTTTAACAAGCAGTGTGGGAAGATATTATTATTGATTCATTTAATGAGGTATAAACAGACACGACGCAGATTTGTATGCCTTGTTTTTACCGTCAAGACGCAAAATGATATTAATAAATAAAAACGTATGATTTATATGTTTACAATCTTTCAAAAGGGGAAGTACAGTATGCTTGTTGGTAGAACAGATTAGGGAAGGAAAAGAATAACAACAACATTGTGTAAATCACTTTTATTACACACACGTACACATACACGCACCTACACACAAACACACAGATATACAAGCGATACATACATCCGTTTGTATAACGTAGAACAAACTAGGGAAGGAAAAGAATGACATCTCTATGGAGTGAATCCACGTTGGCACACACACGCACGCACGCACGCACGCACGCACGCACGCACGCACACACACACACACACACACACACACACACGTGCATACACGCGTGCACACACGCGTGCATACACACACACACGTGTGCGCAAACACGCACGCGCGCACACACACACACACACACACACACACACACACACACGGCGCAGATCCTGAACGCGGATAGCAAACTCGATCAAACTTTTCACACCTGAACCATGCTGTACACGGTGACACATCGTGGTAAATCTTGTGCCAATAAACATCTCGACCACATTGATCGCGTTCAAAGAAGGGAAACGGCTCCTATAATGCGCATGACAGAAAATGACAATGTGCGTGCAATAGGCATGGTAGACTAACACCTTGTCAATGAAAACATTTCTTCAGAATACTTATATTTTTTTTTTCCGAAACCACCTTTCATCTTCTGCTGTTTTCAAATGTGGAACCAGGCAAACTGGGCTTGGTTAGTTTGATCTAGACTTGCCTAGGCTTTTATTAAAAAAATACCTAAAAAATATAAATTCCACATTCATAGAGCAAGACAATTGGCATGGTTGAAGCTGGCTCATCACAGAATGGCGTTGGCAGACAGTTTAGTAAATCTAACAGAGGTGAGGTGAGGTGAGGTGAGGTGAGGTGAGGTGAAATTGAATTTAACGTCGCGTCCTAGATTATTGCACTAATATAACGATGTGTATGCACCTGTGTGTGTGGCTGCTTATACTAGTCCGGACTGATGGCGATTTATAGTGCTAGCTCATTGAGATACCATGCCGCAGTTTAACATGAATACTCTACTCAGACACAGTATACTGACGCCGAGCCGACAAGTCCTTGTTTTAGCCCCTTAATGCCGAGCGCCAGACAGGGTAACAACAAGTATCATCTTTTAACGTCTTTTGGTATGACGCGGCCGGGGATCGAACCCCGGAACTTCCGCTCTCCGGGCGGACGCTCTACCAGAAGACCGCGGAGGCGGTCTAAATCTAATAGATAGATATCCCGACTGATGGAATGATATCAGCAAAAGGTTGGTAGTGGAAGACACAGAAAGACTACTCCCGGGCAGGATCGATATGTACGCGCCATTGCGTCGAGGAACACATTCATTTCTGCAGGAGACCTGAGTGACAACTTCAGGGCTGCCACAGGAATTCGACTTTTAAACGTCAACGATACGAAACAGGTTGGAAAATGCGGGTCTGGAAACAAGGCGTCCTTTCAGATGAATGTGTCTGACTGTGGCACACAGGCGACTCCGATAACCATGGGCACATCAGTTTGGAGGTCGTCAGCAAGGACACTGAGATACACCATGTTTTCCGAGGAATCGAGGTTCTGTTTACGCTTTACAGATTGTAGACAACGTGTTTAGAGACTGCGTGGAGACAGGTACTTTCCGACAGAAGTCCAAGAGCGCGATAGGTACGACGGCGGCAGCATCATGGTCTTGGCTGGCATCACATACGCCAACAGGACGGATCTGATGATCGTGCAAGAGAACATGACGCGTCCGAGTTTTGTGAACCAGATGTTACGTCCAGCGGTCATCCCATGTGCCCGGCACGTATTTGCCCTGAACTGTTTGAGATCCAGGACGGCAACGCACCTCCTCACAGAGCTGGTGTTGCAGTCGACTGTCTGAGGGGGTAAGGTGTTACAACATTGCCCTGGCCAGCCACATCTCCAGACATGGCACCAGTTGAAGAGCTTTGGGGTGTCCTGGGCCGAACCGACCTCAGCTAGCGTTCCCAGAACTTGCGACAGCTTGGGCGCCCCTTGAGAAGAATAACGAAGTGTACCCCGGGAGACCATCGGGCGTTTGATATCCAGTATGCCCAGAAGATGTCGTTCCTGCATCGATGCACACGGGGCATGGACCAGATATTGACTTCCACGTGAAGATTGAATTCCACACCGTCATTTCTGATACATTTAGGTCTTCCCTTGAATATTGTGTCCATTATAGTATTATATATAATCGTTGACGAGAGTGAAATATGCTTGTTAGTAGACACACCAGGATGGGAAAAGAATAACATCGGTGGTGAGTGAATCCCGTTTGGCACACACGCACGCACGCACGCACGCACGCACACACACACAGAGGCAAACAGACACAAAGACACACATGTACACAGGCACGGGCACACGCACACATACATACTCGCGCGCGCACACACACACGCACACACACAGAGGCAAACAGACACAGACACACATATACACAGACACGGGCACACGCACATACACACGCGCGCGCGCACACGCACGCACACACGCAGAGGCAGACACAGAGACACATATACACAGACACGGGCACACGCACACATACACACGCGCGCGCACACGCACGCACACACACATGCATGTAGATGTTTGCTACTTTGATTGAACCTACTGGCAGCGTGCCAAGGATCGTATAGGACCCGAACACGACCAATGGACTGGGCCACGGCTAATGTTGCGCAACACAGGACCAATGGGCCAATTGTGTCTCCTTCGTACGTTCCCAGTATTCTTGAATCCGGACACGTGTTAATCCGGATTAACGAGTTTAAGTCGTATAACGAAACAGACGTCTTCCTGAACTCCATACTATTTAAAGAAATTTTTTAACCCTGTTCATCGCGAGCTGTTCATCGCGTTGGAGATATACGCCATATATTTTACCTTATAGTCGGTGATCCCTAGATCCTGCGCTGTCAGGTGCTTCTACTCCGATACCATCTGCTTCCCAAGCGTCTGCATATATGCACAGTGGCCAGCTGATAACTGTAACTTAGGTTACCTGTACACACAGTAGTAGGATGCGGCGAGGAAGTATTGATACAGGGATACAACCGTGACGTGTACAGGCGTCAGCTGTGACACGAAGGCGTGAACGACATATAGGGGCGACAGGTTTTATCATTGTTGTAATGGACCATT